GCAAGCGAAATGAACCACCACCAACCACACCAAAGGCTGGTCTTCATCCAAAGAAGGTGATGTTGTGTATATGGTGGGATTGGAAGGGAGTCCTCTATTATGAGCTCCTTCTGGAACACTGAATGATTAATTCCAACAAGAACTGCTCCCAATTAGACCAACTGAAAGCAGCACTCGACGAAAAGCATCCGGAATTAGTCTACAGAAAACACACAATCTTCTATCAAGATAACACAAGACTGCATGTTTCTTTGATGACCAGGCAAAAACTGTTTACAGCTTGGCTGTGAAATTCTGATTCATCCACCTTATTCACCAGACATTGCATCTTCGGATTTCCATTTGTTTCGGTCTTTACAGAATTCTCTTAATGGAAAAAATTTCAATTTCCTGGAAGACTGTATAAGGCACCTGGAACAGTTCTTTGCTCAAAAAGATTAAAAGTTTTGGGAAGATGGAATTATGAAGTTGCCTGAAAAATGGCAGGAGGTAGTGGAACAAAACAGTGAATACATTGTTCAATAAAGTTCCTGGTGAAAATGAAAAATGTGTCTTAGTTTTACCTTAAAACCGAAGGAACTTTTTGGCCAGCCCAATACCTCTTTGTATGGTCAAAAAAGAGTCATGTACCAAAATGTTCATTGCAGCTCTATTTACAATAGCCCGGAGATGGAAACAACCTAAGTGCCCATCATCGGATGAATGGATAAAGAAGATGTGGCACATATATACAATGGAATATTACTCAGCCATAAAAAGAAACGAAATTGAGCTATTTGTTATGAGGTGGATAGACCTAGAGTCTGTCATACAGAGTGAAGTAAGTCAGAAAGAGAAAGACAAATACCGTATGCTAACACATATATATGGAACTTAAGAAAAAAAATGTCATGAAGAACCTAGGGGTAAGACAGGAATAAAGACACAGACTTACCGGAGAACGGACTTGAGGATATGGGGAGGGGGAAGGGTGAGCTGTGACAAAGCGAGAGAGAGGCATGGACATATATACACTACCAAACGTAAGGTAGATAGCTAGTGGGAAGCAGCCGCATAGCACAGGGATATCAGCTCGGTGCTTTGTGACTGCCTGGAGGGGTGGGATAGGGAGGGTGGGAGGGAGGGAGACGCAAGAGGGAAGAGATATGGGAACATATGTATATGTATAACTGATTCACTTTGTTATAAAGCAGAAACTAACACACCATTGTAAAGCAATTATACTCCAATAAAGATGTTAAAAAAAAATGCCCAAGCCTCAAGAGGGAAAATTATTTATCTAAGATCCTGCAGCTAGTGGCAGAGCTAAGGTTAGAACCCAGGCCTTCTATTTGCTAGATTATGGTCCATTTTGTGCTCATAAAACACACTCATTTACACTTTCCCAGGATCTTTACGTGTCTTCCCCACGTAAGGCACACAGATATGTCCCAGAAGCATTCAGAGTTGCAGAATGGCAGCTCCTCAGTGTACTGTCTAGGTAAATGGGCATCATCTTCTAAACCCTCCACCCCTGCCCAAGAAATACTTCAGAGATCACTGGTAGAACGGGCTGGTGATACATCTAATTTTCTTAAGCAATGTGAAATGAAAAGAACACTGAGCTGGGCTTTGCAAGACCTGCGTTCTAGTCCTGGTATTTTAGCAATTCTTTATGTCATTTCAGGGGGCTTATTTCACCTCTCTGAGTCCAGATTCTTCACCTGTCTGTGAGGTGGGAGTAATTCCTCTGCCTTACAGCCTCAATGAAGTGCTAATGAGGTCCAAGAGGCCACAGATGGGGCAAGCAGTATAAAGAATTCTACAAATACCAGAGGTTATGCTTTAGAAAAGCATCTCCATAAGGTGCAATGTCTCAGTGTTTGACAATTACTATCATTTCTATCAATTTCTAATTTCTTCTCTACTTTTTGTCATATTCTTTCTTTTCACAGATTGTTGCATTTCAGCAACTGCCTGAGGACTGAACTGACTTCTCTGACCTTCTACCTTCCACCAAATCAGAAGTGGATGTCGAGTTAGGATTCAATCCCTCTGGGAGGCAAGGTGTCAAGAAAGGAGGTCTGGCTTTTTTTACTTTTCTAATTTCTTCCTCTCAACAATTACCTCTAAACCCCACAGCTTCTTCCCCAACTGAGAAGCCATAGGGTCTCTGTCTCCTCCTTGGATTGCTTACTGCTCTCTCTGCCCATTTAATCTGCTTTCTTCCTGTCCCAACATGCCCAGTCTTTACTTTGCCACCAGGTCCACGTCAGTTCTAACATGCCATTTCCAAATACCAGTTCCCCCGACCCCATTGCTCATTGACTCTGGTGAGCCCAGAGATACTTAGAGTGTGTGTTTTATCTATAGGAGAGGATTAGTCTGTGGTCTGGCATCAGCAGAAAATCTCTCTGAAATCCTACACAGTTCTGAGTTCAGTAAATTCATCACAACAGAGCTGGTTTAAGCAAAGAGCTTCAACCATCCCTAAACATGGGTGTGCTGAAGAAACTGAACTTTTTGCTGTAGAACTGTACAGCAAAATATTATCACACACACAAATTACTTACCTCTTTATAAGTGCAGTAGATAGTGTCATGATAAATGGTAAACGACTTAACAGGAAATTGTGAGGTAAACCATGGGCTGTCTACACAAGGTAAAGCCATGCAGCCATTAAAAACTGTATTCACAAAGAAGGATTATGATATAATGTTAAGTGTACAAAGCAGGATAGGAGTGTATATACCATATGACCTCAGCTATGTAAAAATATTCATAGAGGGCTAAGGAGTGGGTGAAGTGAGTGAAGGTGGTCAAAAGGTACAAACTTCCAGTTATAAGGTAAATAAATTCTGGTGATGTAATGTACAGCATGGTGACTGAAGTTAACAATACTGTATTGTATATTTGAAAGCTGCTGAGAGTAGATCTTAAAAGTTCTCATCACAAGGAAAAAAATTTTAACTATGTGAGGTGATGGCTAACTAAATTTACTGTGCTAATCATTTTGCAACATATAAATATATCAAATCTTCACACTGTACACACTTAAAAATAAGACAGTGTTACATGTTAATTATATCTCAATAATATTAACTGGCAAAAATATTCACAGAAAAGAGACTGTAAGGAACCTGCCAAAATGGTAACAGTGACTATATCAACAGTGAGATCAGGAATAACTGTGACTCCTCCTCCTTCTTTACACTTGCCTATCTTTTTCATGATGAGTAAGAAACACTTTTGTAATCAGAAAAATAAAAACAAACTTTTAGAGGGAAATGAAATGCAGTTTAGTAGGTCAAATGGATACACATGAAGAAAAGAAAACCACACAGGAGATTTCGCTCAACTTTCCTTCCTTGAGTAGCTTGTAAGAGACTCGTGAACCTGCTGGGCTTAGTCCGCGGAAAGGACAAAGCATCAGCACCTGAGAGAGCACTGCGTGAGTGCTCCTGTGGCGGGAGGTGAGAAAGATCTGCCCTTCTGGCAACGAGGTCTGCGAAAGGGGAATTTTTCTATGTATGACGCTTCTTCTGGCAAGGGTCCACATTTTCTACATTTTAATCATGGAAATCTTTCTAGAATGGACTTCATATTCCTCAGCCTTCTTAAAGGGAATGCACAGAACATACATTTTGCCTCCATGCTCACTCAGGGTCCGCACTGGGGGCATCAACAATCATCCAGGGAAATCAAATACAGGGCTTAGTGTCCCTTTGAAACCAGATAGCTACAATTTTTTTTTCTTTTCTTTTTTGGCCGTGACACGTGGCATGCAGGATCTTAGTTCCCTGACCAGCGATCAAACCAATACCCCCTGCAGTGGAAGTGCAGACTCTTAACCGCTGGACAGCCAGGGAAGTCCCAGATGGCTACAATTCCTGAGGTCTTGTGCTTGTCTTGTTTTTTTCTATCCTCTTTCTCCCTATCAGATAGGCAGTTGCAGCTCTTAGTGTGTAGGTTCTCACCTTGTATTTGGCTCTGGCACTACAGCTATCTCCTTCCTTCTTCTGCCCTGGTCTAGTTTACTGCAGGCTAATAAACCTAGTAAGCACAGTTATTAGAGAGTTGCCTAAAATAAAAATTAGTAAGCTTAGAGTGAGGGTTAAGGGCTGTTCATAGGCCTTTTTCTCAGCTATAATCCACATAATTAAGGTTGCTGAATATGAGGCTTTAGATAAATGAGGTAGTCAGGAATTACAATTTGATATGTTAGTTATGCCATAACTGTTTTTAAAAATAAAGATAACCTAAATGGGAAATGAATTTGAAAAAGAATAGATACATGTATATGTATAACACTTTGCTATACACCTGAAACTATCACAACATTGTTAATCAACTATACTCCAATATAAAATAAAAAGTTATAAAAAAGATAAAGTGCTTTATTATTGTTATTTTTAAAATAAAATCTGTAACACAGATTTCCCAACTTTTTAAAGCAACAGAACCCTATTTACAAATGAAATCTCGCTTAGAAACCAAATAATCAAAATAGTTAAAAGCAAAACTACTCTGGGTGATTCAAGGGAGTAAGGCCCAAGCCCTGCCTTCTCAGGCTCCCCTCCAACACCATCTGGCACCCTCTTAAGCACCTAGGCAGAAGCCAAAGACCAAGAGCAGTTTCATAAAGCACCAGACTAATGCTATAATATTTGCAAAGTGACCCAAGTTGAAAGATGTAATCCAGTTCATTAAAACAACAACAAAAAAATATGAATAAAGCATCAGGATCTATGTGGTAAGGGAGCAGATGCTTCTGTGTGGCTTAAGAAGAATATTTTATTAAAAATATCTTATTGTTATAGCTTTAAGAGGAAGTCCTAGTGCTGGTCTAGTGCTGATCAAATCTCTTTGGAGAGAAGTCAGAGGCATATCCCTGGAGCCTGGTTAAAGGGCCTCACACAGGACAGATGGGTTCCAGCAGGCTAGCCTGCCTTTTCTCACTCCAATACCTCACACTCTCAGTGCTGGGGAAGCAGTCTGAGGAACTTCCCTGTGCCTCTTACCTGGTTATCTGGGTGGTTGACAGTGAAGTAGCCCACACAGACGATGACCTCATGAAGGAGGCTTTCACAGGAGACGTGGCTGCAGTGGCCCAGTAGGGAGCTGGCGATGTGCCGGAATGCAAGGGACAAGCCCTCTGCCCCTACGATAGACTAACAAAGACAAGAAGCAGTTAGAACTCCCCAGCCCAGGGACAGCCAGGGCTGCAAATCACAAAAACACACCTGGGCCCTGTGCACCTTCTGCCATGATGCCAGAAAAGCATATGAAATTTCTAGAGCACTGTGCTTAACAGTTCAGTTCAGGGATTCCTGCTCCACTAAATGACCATAATAAATGCAACGTTTAAACTGAAAATAAAAACAAAAAAAAAAGACAGAAAATAAAGCATAGCAGACCAAATGCCTGTACTACGTGGATCAAGACACTATTCACCTAAAGCATGAGTATTTATCCCATTTTTAACGAGGTATTTTTTTTCTCATTGCACAGTCTCACTGTAGAAAATTTGGAAAAAATAATAATACTAAAACTCACCTGTAAATCTACCATTTAGCTAACTTCCAATACTTTTTTTTTCTGAAGGAGAAAATATTTTCTTGTATGCAGGGATAAAAATATGACTCTAATTATTTACTTATGTTCAAATAGAAAAGAAATATAAATAACAATTAGTTATTCAAATAGCTCTTGTGCTCCCAAAGTAATGTAAAAAAACCCAACAACCTCCCCCCGCCCCCCCAAAAGAACACAAAAAACAAACCATGAAGCCCCCTCAGCTACGAGGCTTCTGGGATCCTTTCTTGAGACAGTCAAAGGGCTGTTGGTGGTGGGCGACGCGGGAGGAGAGCCTGAGTCTGTCTGTGCAGCCTGAAGCGTCTATTTAATAAACATGTCAAACAGACAGAGCGACAGGAGGGCAAAGGGGAGAGGCGAGGCCCACAGAATGCACTCGCAGCCCACACTGGAATGAAGCACCACTGCCAGCCTGTGGGAAAAGGCAGTGTTTTAAACTCATCTCTTGATTTGAGGTCTTGGCTGGCTTGAACCAGGTCAGATACTTTGCAGCTTGGAAGTTTCAATGAATTCACTCTGCCTAACAGCCGGGGAGGCACCGTCTTTTTAATAAATACTGTTGAAACAAAATTACTACTAAATTTTAAGAGTGCCTTCTGTCTCCGTTTCATTGCACCGAGACAAAATGTTTTTCAGGCCCCAAAGAGACTTCAGGAGGGCCCTGCTCCTTTAAATCAAGTAGTGACACCTTCTCAGCTCAGCCCTTATTTAATTAGTTGTGTCCAGCTTGCTGTGACCCAGTGCCCTCTGTTTAACCTTCACTGATAAGAGCAGGTCAAGGGGCATGTAAGTTTGAATATAAAAATTAAACCAATTTTTCAAGGAAACTATATTTCCTTTTTCGCCAGAATTAATTGCCAAGTCAGTACATTGATTTGTTTCTTGAGACCACCTTCAATTGTAAAAACTGTCAAAGTATATGCACTATACAATATCCGGGATCTCAAGGCCATCTGTGCCAATATGAATTCAGAGTGAAATCAGACTCTTTGCCAAAGGGAGAAAAATATTCTGACAGCCTTATTAGTATATAATGAAATGGAACCAGTTAAGAAAATATTCTAATGGATAACCTTTTGTTACTACTATGCAATGAGTTCTCACACCAAAACAATCACATAGGTTTATGGCTTCAAAGAAGGGTGCAGAAGCACTGGGAATGTTGCATTCGAAACCTAACCTTTTGATTCAACATCTGCAAGATGGTTTGGGTAAATTCTTCACCTTCAGAATATGAGTCAGTCCACATTTCCTGAGGGCCTACTATGTGCTAGCTAGCACAGTGCCTTTATGTAATCTCATCTAAACCTCAGACTTGTGAGGTAAGTGTCTATTTTCCAAATGAGAAACTCAGTCTTAAGGATTCAAATGACTTGTCTAAGGTCATACAACTTGGTAGTATGATGGCTCAAAGTCAGGTCAGTCTGACTCGGGACCCAGAGGTCTTGATGAGGATGCTTCTCCATAACAGCTCTACAGAGATGCATTCTTGTGATGCACTGGGACTCAAACCGTCAACATGTCTTACACTGTCTTGTCTAACTCTTCAGAGGGTCAGACCATTTATCTCATTTCAATTTTCTTCTTCAGTTCCTTCAATCCTCTCAGGCAATTCATAAATTGTCTCCCAGATTTTTTATGAGCTCAGACCCATACTGTACCTAAAATCTCTTTTCCTGTGCTTTATAAACATAGTTCCTGAAATCTCACTTTTGACAAGTAAGTTGTTTTAATGAACTAGAATATGAGTTTCTCTGACCATATCTATCATAAAAATAATACTTTTCTCCTAAACTCACCCACTGCTTTACAATGCAAATATTGTGTATTTGTATGCTATTTACTTGAGCATTGCATGATTGATCAGATGTCTATCTACATCAATGATATCTATGTGGTCAGATGCTTTGCTTTAGCTTGCTCAACAAAGTGTAGTGGTTAGTTAAAAAAAAAGACTATAAATCTTTGACAGTCCTCCCATTGAGAGATGGGGCCTATGTCTTCTCCTCTTGAATCTGGAAGGCTTATGACTGATTTAACCAATAGAGGATGGCTGATATGTAACCATATGACTTCTGAGGCCAGGTCATAAAAAAAGCCATGCAGCTTCCATTGGTTCTCTTGGAGCAGTTGTTTTCCAGAAGCTTCCTCTCAGGAAACTCCTACTGAGAACACAGACACCACGATGTTTTGAGAAGCCCAAGTCACATAGAGAAGCCATATGTAGAGTCTCTGGCCAATAGTCCTTGATGAACCTAGTCTTTGAGTAATCAATCCCAGGCATAAAACATGAAAGTGAAGGAGCCTCCAGATAATTTGAGCTCCCAGCTCTTTGAGTCAATTTGCCCCTCTTCTCCATACCCCCCAACCCCAGTCATTTGAGCCCCTCAGCTGAAGCCCTACATCGTGGAGTAGTGACAAGCCACCTCCACCATGAAAAGTCCTGCCTGAATTCTGGATTCACAGAATCTGTGATCATAACGGTTGTTGTTTACCCCACTAAGTTTGTTTGTTTTTCAAATGTATAAAAGTAACTGGAACAGTAAGGTAATCATTGGTAGATGTATTAAAGGACCTGATGCTAGAAATTCTAGGTATCTGGGGTCCCTGCACACACTGATGAAGCATAAGAGAAAAACATGTGCTCGACTTTGGGCACCAAAAGGATGGCAGCCAGGAGGAAGGTCCCTGAAGGCTTTCCTGGCCCATGCACTGGTTAAGGGGGTAAAGGTACCTGGGAACAATGTCTGGGGAGAGATTGAGAAGCAGTGATGGCAAAATTACTAAAATAAGACAGGAGAGTCAGAACAGAGAAAAGGAAAAGAAGAAAAATCAGGAAAGAATTAAGAGAAATACGGAGTAACAGGAAGGACAGAGAAGAAAGAAGCAAAAGAAGTGTTGGGAACCAGCCGCAAAAGGACATTCCCCTGGGGAGGTGGGCATCTCACTCTAAGAATGGCTCGAACTCTCGAGTCACCTTGGTGTTTCTTCTGGGGTTGTGGCAAAAGCGGCTCAGGTAGGGAATATATTCTGGGCTCGATATGGCAAGGAGCTGCAGAGGAGAAGCCATGGTTTCATCTTAGTTGGGCATGAAGGGCTCCAGAAATAGATTTTTGACTTTTCTAACGTTATTGGCCATTGTGCCTAAAGGTCATGAGGGAGCAGGGCTGGTTGGAGTTGAGTGGTTCTTTTGAGTAAGGCTGCACAGGCTGTGAGTTCATGGAGGGCTGGGGCTAGGGCAGGGACCTGGGGCTCCCTGACACTCAGAGTGACTGATGGAATAAATGGCTGACTTAATGTAAATGCTTGTGTATGATGTGGCGACCCCTGAAGCAGTATAAATCCTGGTCAGAAGACCCATAAGCCAGGAGCTCAGGAACATTTTTAGGTATTTGCTTTTCATAATCCCTGGTAACAAAAGAAACCACTCTAGTTGGACCTAGCTGATGGGTAGCCTGCTGGTCTCCATATTCTGAGGGCATAAAATTAGCATATCTTGATTTCTAAGCTGTTTCCAGACAGAACACAATGGGGTTGGGTCTTCATAAAACACAAATGTTACATTCAACCCAGAGGCAAGAACCATTGGCATTCTCTGGAGCAGGTACCTCTTGTTCTAGGTGTGGCTGTAAACTCTCAGAACTTTACATATATTGTGTAGCTACCACCTAAGGCTAGTTCAAGTGCTTTGAAAACTGAAAAGCATTAACCCTAAGGAAGAGATTTTTGTTCTTATGATGGATAAACTAAATCTACAAAGTTGAAAGATACTGAATCCAATGATACGACTTACTAATTTCCAGTTGTGAAGAGAATGACAGGAAGACAAGAACTGCACATTTGTCACCAGCTACAAAACAGAAGTATTTCTTCCATCTTGCGATGACCAAAGACCACAATTTTCATACATTTGTATCTCTATAACCTTTTTCCCTTTGAGCAAAGCAATTCATCTAAATTATGGGTTCATTATCTGCCAAGTTTGTTCCCTTTTTAATGAAATCACTTGACAGTTAATAAACTGAAAGAGAAAGTCTACTCCTTGGGGCTTGCTCTGTTCCAAAGGTTCAGTGTTTTTGAAAATTAAATTTCCTATATGAAAAACAATCTGTTTCTAAGCTGACAGTCTGGTGTTATAAAGCAATTTTTCTTTAGCTATAAAAACTTAGTATTTATAGGGGTTTGCATATTTAACTACACATGCACTTTACGTTGGATACAAGTCAGTTAAATCATTCATAGACAGTCATATCAATCAAAACAATTTATCTAATTTTGGTTGTGTTTATATAAGAAATCATTACTTTCCTTAATATTTAAATGTTTATGGTATGATAATGCCTTTTCTAAAGAAATTAAGACAGAAGATTTATAAGTAGCAGAATGGCATAGGCTTGGGGCCATGGGTACCAGTCCTGGCTCAGCCATGTGTAACCCTGGGAAATTACTTAACTGCCAGCTTTTCCACCTGTAAAATGGGTATAATAATATTCTGTAGGGTAGTCATGAGAATAAATAAGAAAGCACATGCAAAGCACCTAATCCAGTTCCTAGAATACAGTAGCTTAATAAATAGTATGTATTATTATTCCCTGTATTGTAGCTTATTCCTTATGCCCCAATCCAGGAAAAGAACCTCTCATCATATCTACACAAAATTATTAACTCTTGGCTGGTTAACCAATTCCTGGTACCTGAAAAGCAGGCAGATCAAGAGCTGCAAAGCTGTTGAAGAAACGTAAACTCTGAATGGCCACTTGGACTGTGTTCTGAGCGTAACTCTCCTTGGGACTAGAAGTGCCGGGATCCGAAATTGTGCCATGGAAGAGGACACAGTAGAGCATATGCAGAACTCCAGCCAGGTCTGTGGCCTGAAGAGCAGCTGTCAGTCCTGTGGGATCCTGGCGATTATTATCAAATATGCTGTGTGACCTGATAAAGAAACATTCAACTTTTTAACAGAAATCTACTTAAAGGATGCTAGCATTTTTATAGGTCAAATGGAACATGACAAGCAGACCGTTAAAAGCAAACCATGTGAGTGGTGTAGTAAGGTAACAAGAAACCTCAAGGAGTAAATGCAGCCCTCCCCCCCACCAAGTGCACTGCGGCCTGCCCTTTTCTCCAGCTGGGAGACCGGGCTGCTGCAGCAGTGGCAACTGAGTACTCTGCAGCCAGGCTGAGACTGCTTCCACCCTTTGCAGCCTAGATAGCCTCACTTTGTTTAGATTCCAGGCCTGGTGAAACTGGACAGAGTCCATGAGAGCTGTTGGGACTCAGAATTCAAAACACCATGGCTTCCTTTCTGGATACACAAGGGAATCTTCTCAGGGGAGGCGGTTACCAGGAAAATACGAGGCCTCAAAAACCCAGTAGTGTGTTGGTATACCGTGACAGGGAGACACTTCAGCTGCTTTTGAAGGCACAGTTCCATCATCAAGGAGTATTGGCAAGACAGGTTGTAGGGGCCAGGCTCCCAAGAACAAGCTAGTGCTGGATTAGCTTTGTACAAATCACCTTGAAGTTAGCCTAGCAATTGCGGCAGGCAGTATGGATGAGCAAGAAGCAATGGCAGTGGCAAATGAATTCCTCAAATCAATAGGAAAGGAAGGGTTTGCTAAATCCACCTCACTCTGGAACTCAGGTATACGTGAAGCGTCTAGTGATCAAGAGCCTACAATTTTAGTAAATGGGGCTGCTAAGCATTCATTCACCCTTTTTGCCCCTAGAAACCATACCCAGGTTTCTCTCCCCTTCCCACAGCCAACATGCTTCAGGTGGGGCCCCCTTCCTATTCACTCTGGCTCAAGGGTATGTAGGCCTAAGGTAAGCGGAACATGGAGGGAGATTCTTGGGCTGAAATGCCTGGAAAGAAGCCCTCACTTTTTCTCCACAGGTTTGAATCTGAAATGTAAGGTCTGTAGCTGCTGCAGCCACTTGTTCTAACCACTGCACAAATCCTCAGGTCTCTGGGCTGTTCCAAGTGCGTCAGTCACCTTACTTCATGGGACACAGCTTTTTCTCAGGAAGGGAAGTTACAAGTCCCTGCTCAGTGTCTCCCTTTAACCTGGTATGATCTGCACAAAGCTGAGCAGAAGTGTCTTTATGTTTCTGCCACAGGATGATGCCCTTCCCTATTTTTAACACTAATATAGGTCCCTCCCATTTCTTTTTCTGTTGTTGTTGTTATTGTTCCTTTCAGCTGGAATCTAGAATGGGAGAGAGGCATTAAAGATCTATGCTTATCTCATAAATTTGCCCAGAAGCACTGAAGAGATGCCACTAAGTAAATATGAATTTGAAAGTACTGGCTGGCAAGTTTCTAGTATCTTGTCTAGTTTTCTAATCCATAACTTTTTTAAGGGATTATATTTTTCATTCTAATTTGTTAGTTTCATCAAAGTATAGTTTTATTCGTAACCATGGTAAGCATTTATTTCTTGACTGTGCACTATTTCTGATAGTCTAAGAATGGGGGATGACACTTGTACTCTTCTCAAGAAAGTAGGTCTTATCAAATACTATCATTTCATTTGCATGGCAGGACCTGCTAAGTACATTCACATCTTCCACCCCGCCTCATTTGTAGTTCTTCATAGTTGGTAGAGAAGGTGTTGTTCTCCTCACTTCACACATGACGCAACCGAGACCCTCAGAGATTCAGTGAGATGTTTTAGGTCATAAACATTTGTCAGTGGCAAAGGCAGGGGTACTACCAAGAACTTTTGACTCTTTAAAGGCAGGGCTTTGTCCAAAGACCAAAACATCCAGGCCAAACAGGAGGTGACCTCTTCTTTTGTCTCCATGCCTTTTCTTAAATCAAATCTCGGGGTTAACTGAACACTGTTAAACAAAGTACACAGAGGTTGTAATGTAATCCTGATCATCACAGAAAGACACTTTCTGTCTTATGGGACTCAGTAAAAACAAAAAGTTAAGAAATTATATTTATTTGCTTATAGGCACATCTGAACCTTTACACAAACTGTTAGCTAATGTCATTTCAGTTCGCCCTTCCTTCCTTCCTTCCATTATTGCCATGAGAGTTAGGGGTCAGACCCTGACTAAAGACGTGAGTAGAGATTAATGTGTCTGAGTTTATTATATAGATTCCAAAAAGGGGTCTGTGTTTGTTTAACAATGACTGCCTTTTAGAACCAATGACAAGTCAGAAGACATTTCTCCCTAAAGCTAATTTCTAATAGGCTTTTAGAACCTTGGGGATGAGTGACATCACTGCTGGTGACAACATTTTTTTTCTTTGTGGTTCAGAATGGTGATCTCCCCTTTACTGCCTGTGTTGCTTTTAAACTGATTATTAGCATATTCAAATGCAGATATTCAGGAATATAGCTTTATTATTTAGAACACTTTGTAACAGTTAATCTTTGCAAGCATTTATGAAATGACATAAATTTACTGCTATTACTTCTTTAAAAGAATAAATTAAAAAAAAAAACCCAGCAAGTGAAGATCATCAGAATAGTTTCTCTTCTCTCCACCCCACCCTATTTAGGAAAATACTAAACTATAAAATAACATAACTCAGGATCTTTTGCAATATTCTTCTGATGAAATAAAAATGTTGATTCAGAAAAATCAATTAAATTAGCATTCAAGAACTCAGATGTGGAAATGGTTCAAAATGTATATTAATATTGCTTTGTGGAAAAGACAATTAATTTTAAAGTTAGCCTACAGAATATACAGGGTGGAGGGGAGGGGAGAGAGCTTGTCTGCTGCATTTGGCTTCCACAGGACTAATGCAGACATGAAGGGACTTTAGAAAATGTTTACTTTTGATTTAGTCTGAAATACGGATAATTTGTCCTTGAACAGGCCACTGGCTCCTGTTGGTCTTAAATGTCAGCTATAATCACTTTAAGCCTAAATGTTTATAATAAAAAAGTAAAAGGCCTTATTCATATCAGGCACAGGTTATAAAAAGTTTTCTTTTTTTAAATAAATTTATTTATTTATTTTTGGCTGCGTTGGGTCTTTGTTGCTGCCGTGGGCTTTCTCTAGTTGTGGCAAGCGGGGACTACCCTTTGTTGAGGTGCGTGGGCTTCTCATTGCTGTGGCTTCTTGTTGCGGAGCATGGGCTCTAGGTGCGCGGGCTTCAGTAGTTGTGGCACGCAGGCTCAGTAGCTGTGGTTCGTGGGCTCTAGAGCGCAGGCTCAGTAGTTGTGGCGCACGGGCTTAGTTGCTCTGCGGCATGTGGGATCTCCCCAGACCAGGGCTCGAACTCGTGTCCCCTGCATTGGCAGGAGGATTCTTAACCACTGCGCCCCCAGGGAATCCCATAAAGTTTTCTTTTAAAAACACACTGAAAAGAGATATGGGAACACATGTATATGTATAACTGATTCACTTTGTTATAAAGCAGAAACTAACACACCACTGTAAAGCAATTATACCCCAATAAAGATGTTTAAAAAAATCAATAAACAAAACAAAACAAAACAAAAACACATTGAAGATATGAAAAATCAGATCTGAAATTTTGTATATTACACTCTAAGATCTTCTCAATTTTGCTGGATTTTAAAGTGTTTTTGTTTGGTCTCTAGGATTAGAGATCTTAGTGGTATATTCATTTCTGTTCATTAATTGCGAGATTCAATCAGGAAAAACTATAACTGGGCCATCAATATTCCTGCACAGCTCTTGAAAACCCTACTTTGCCTTAAATGAGAGTATAGCTGGGCAAAAAAAAAAAAAGCAATAATTTGTGTGGGCATGAATCAACTGCCATCTGTTCCATCTTTGGTATTTTAAACCACTTATGTAACAGGCCTTATTTGGCCCAAAAAAGCAGCTGTGACAGTCCCAGACACTATAACCCCCTTTCCCCATTTGTTCCTGGCTTGTTTGCTCTTGTATCCCTGGTCGCAGATTTCTGATTCGGTAACATCCACCCTGATCCCCTTCAGTGCTGGTATCTTCTAGACTGCTCTCCTAGCTTCTTGGATTTTGGCTTTGTTCCCTCCTTTAGATCTGGAATCCCAGAAGCATCTTATCAGAACCTCCCATTTTAGCCTCTGAATCCAGAACACTCCCCCCAAAGGTCTGCATAGTGCTGGGAGTGGATGGAGTTAAGTCACTGTCCCTCCCAATGATGAATGTGAACTTCACTGTTCAAGGAGAAGTGAATTATTTCTTACAGAGTTATTCCAGCTGTGGGCTCTTATGTACTGGGACAGTCTTAGAAAGCTGACCTTCATCTAGTAATATCATCATTTATCAGGCTTTGTGGTGAGCAAAAGGGACATGATTATCTGTCATATATTCTCTATTGAAAAAGCCAAAGTACCTGTGCTCCAGCAACAGTGACCTGTGATGTATTACAAAATCAAGGAAGACCAGACCCATGTCCTATAGAATGTTACAGTCTAATAGTGGCAGGCGTGTGCATCAGTTTCCTATTGGTGCTGGAATAAATGATCACAAGCTAGTTGTTCAAAACAACACAAATTTATTCTCTTATTAAAGTTCTGGGGGTCAGAAATCCAAAATGTCTCACTAAGCTAAAATCAAGGTGTTACCAGAGCTGTGTTCCTTCTGGAGGCTGAAGGGGAGAATTTATTTCCTTGCCTTTTACAACTTCTAGAGTATGGTTGCTCCTTGGCTCCTGGCCCCTTCTTCCATCTTCAAAGCCAGCAGCATAGCACCTTCAAATCCCTCTCTAACACTGACTTTCCTGCTTCCCTTTGAGATTACATTGGGCCCACCTGGATAATCCAGGCTACTCTCTCCATCTCAAGATCCTTAACCATTTCTGCAAAATTCCTTTTGCCGTGTTAGGTAACACATTTATAGGTTCTGAGAATTAGGATATAGATATCTTTGGCAGGGCATTATCTCCCCACCCCTAATTTTTTTTATTGTGGTAAAATACACATAAAATTTACCATCTTACCTGTTTTTAAGTT